AGGATTGAAAGCTCCACACTTGGATTCTATTATTAAACCTCAAAGAATATTATGCTGTAAAAAGCTCGCGAGTAAAGACCTTAGTAGCTGGAAAATTATTCTTCTTCATTACCTAACACCAGTAGGTGGCAAATTTATCCTTGGCTGCAACTTCGATGTAAAAAAGCTGCCTATTAAGCTTCCGGGTTTTTATGAGGAATGTTTAAAGGATTTCTCGCGATGCTCCGCAGCAAACAAGGTTAGTCTAGACAGTATTAATACAGTGGATATTTCAAAGATCATTCTGTGGAATAATTGTTATATCTTAATTGGTGGCAAAACCGTTTTCAACAAAAGATTGGTAGATAAAGGAATTGTAAGAATAGGGGATCTTATTACTGAAAACAATGAAATCATTAGGAGCAAGCTAAGGGAGTTAAATTTATCCCCATTGGACGCATTTCAACTTTTTTCAGTGATCGACGCACTCCCGAAGGACTGGCGTCATGCGTTGAAGAGTTATGGATATGATCGCCTTGTTTTTTTCGATCTTCACGAGCAGACTCAGTTGTTTTTATCTGGTAAAGATGTTTTATTAAGTAATGCTGACTCAAAAGGCATCTATGTTGAATTTTTTGAAAAGGATTATTTAAACTGGAAAGAAATTTACAGCTTACCCTACCAGGTTGCCCTTGACACTAAGTCACGTGAATTTCAATATAAATTGTTACATAGATATCTGGCCACCAATGATTTTTTAAACAAAATTGGTATTTCTTCATCACCACGATGTTCTCTGTGCGATGAGGCGGATGAATCCCTTGAACACCTTTTTGTCTCTTGCCTGGTTACTCAGAGTTTTTGGACAGAAGTTATTAAATGGTGTAGCAATCGGGGGGTGGTTATTAACCATCTCTCTGCTAATATATATTATTTGGGATAAAGGTACATAAGGACAATTTATTTATTAATCATATTTTGCTAGTTGGTAAGCAGTATATATATAATTGCAGATGCACGAAAACAAACCCTTGTTTACGAGTTTTCTTGGCAAGACTCAATAACGTTTATCAATTCGAAACTATCATTGCCAAATCAAAGAATATAATGTCTTTTCATTTATGGAAATGGCAAGCACTCTTGACAGGTGGTACAAAATTGCCGACAAATACTTGTTAAGGTTTAGTAGTATTGATACTGTCGTTGTGTGTCGTGTGTGCTGTGCGTGCATGTGTGAGTTATTTGTGTATCCTTTTTTTTTAAAAAATCGTAATGTCGGTAATGTATGTAAAAATTAATGTTATTATTGTACAGCAAGAAACTGAAATAAACAGTGATTAAATTGCAAAAAAAAAACTTGGGTCAGTGTCTCTTGACGTGTCTAGAACAGTGTGTCGACTAGCGCTTTGGCCTCCACCTCAACCAGTGTCTCTCCAAGCGTCTGCATCTCTATCTCTGTTAGTGTACCTGCCAGTGTAACGACCAGCGCACGCATCCGCGATGGCCAGTTTGTCTACAAGTGTCTCGACCTTTACTACTGCTGGCCTGCTAGCCACTGTGTAAAAAGGGCCCCAGTGTTTACCTCGGTCAGAGTCTTGCAAGTGTCTGGGCGTTCACTTGTGCAAGCATGTCAACCTGTGTGACGACCAACACCTTAGCGTCTACCTCGGGCAGTGTGTAAGCAAGTGTATCATTCTTGACTTATGTTATCACGTGAGTCAGTTTGTTGGCAAGCGCCACTTCGTTCTTTACGACCAGCGCCTCGGCCTTTACCTCTTCTAGCGTTTCCGAAGAGGTTTGAGACCTTACTTGTGTTAGCTTTTTAGGCAATGAGTCGACCAGTGCATCTGCCTTTCACATTGGCCATTGTGTTTCCAAGATCTCTAACTGTACTTCTTTCAGTTTTTCACCCTGTGTGTCTACCAATACCTTAGCCTCCACCTTTTCTAGTGTGTTACCAAGTGTCTCGACCTTTTCCTCTCCCTGTCCTGGACTATTTCTACCAGTACCTCGGCCTTCACCTAGCTCCCAGTGTAGGCACGTTTTTTTGACCTGTACTACTGGTAGACTGTCAAGTTTGTTGACTACCGCCTCGGCCAGCACCAAGGCAAGTGTGTCGCCAGGTACCTCATCTCCAACTGTGCTAGCCTGTCAGAAAGTATATAGACAGGCGCATACGTCTACACCTTAGCCAGTGTCTCGACAACTGTTTTGACCTTTTTTCATACTTGTTTGACAGGGAGTGTGTCGAGCAGCGCCCCAGCCTTTATTCATGAAGTTGCGTAACCAAGCATCTTGACCTTATTCTTTGCTAGCCTGTTAGTCAATAGAGAGCTTAAGAAAATCGCTACGGCGACTTCTACTACGGCGGCCGGAAGAAAAGAAGCCCCGAAATGACGCAGTGCGCATGCTTGGAAATGACCTTTCGCCGTAGCGCCAAATCCTCCTGGCTTAGTCGCTACTACGTGAGTATAAAAGTCGACTCTTCTCCTATTGTTTACGATCACTGGCTTTAAAAGCT